GCCATTTATGGAAAGTGACCTACTTTTATGTGAAGCAGATAATAAATGCTAAGAAAAAACACAAGAGTTTTTTTTTGTTTTTAAATTGACTCTTTAATCTTGAAGTATCCTTTAACGATGTATTGAATTTCATGTTTTGAATATATTTGTTTTTGCTTCACTCTGTAAATTAAGATAGTCTTTCCATTAATTGAAGGACTGCATTCACTCATTATAAAAGGATTCTTCTATTAGGATAAAGAATATGAGCATCTCCTCTGTGAATGCTGTTTGAATAATTGGTTAGAATGGGTTACTTGACTCATCTGATAAAGTGCTTCATGTAGCCATGAAGAAGAATATGAGATATGTGTCTTTTAGTTCTTTTGGAAAACGTTTTTCCCCTCTGTGGATTAGGTAATCTATGTAGTTAGGAAAAATCAGCTGTTACATCTGACCCAATTTTAACAGTTCTTGATTCCCAACGGGTGACATTTTATAGCATGGAAAATTAATCACTTTGATGAGTTGCTTGACAGTTTTCGTGTTTTTCAAAAAATTTTAAATGCATTGAGTTTATGTGTAAATATGAAATTCCCAACATAATGCTAACTAAAACGTATAAATGATCTATAATTCAGTTAGTAGTTGGCCAGTGAAGTAGCTGATCACTGTTCAAGTGCTGGGGTTCATCTTCTTGTCTCCCTTTCTTCGACCAAATAAGTAAAACTGCACGTTGCCCTTCCCCTTCCTTTTGTTTTTGGAGTGTCTTCATTTTGGACTGTTGCTTGCCATAGTAATTTTTGTGTTTGGTGGTTTGTAGGAACATTTTCTGATTTGGAGGTCATGTACTTTTGATGGAATAATGTGGGAAAAAAATGAATCGCATAGTTCTTGCGGTCTTCTTAAACCGCAGTAAAAATATTTTTTCACTGATCCCAGGACTACAGGTTGAACACGGAGCCAGAAGATGAAATGAAGACTTAAGAGTTATTCTGATCCTAGAAAATAGGGACATCTACTAGATGTTCTTCCCAAATACCTTTGGAACAAGCTACTGGTTTCAGATTTGCTTAGGGAGTTGTAAACCCTCTTAAGGGTTGTCTTACCATGCGTTCATCAGTTTCGTTGGACAGAAACTGACCTGCCCTCTGGGACTAGGCACAGCATATTTACCAAATGACATACCAAGAATATATTGTTCGATGTCAAAAAAAACTGCCCCTAAAAAAGGTATCTTAGGAAAGAATCCCTTCTATAATGTAGTACTTTGTTCCTTTATGGAACTGGTAAATAGCAACAGTAATAAGGTTAATAATACTAGAGTAACAGATAATTTATTATTTGTAGAGGGATATATAAAATATTGCTGATAATATATTCTAATTAAGTAACATTTAGCTTTTAAAGTGTTAAATCTCGTTACTAAAAACTATTTTGAATGAAAATCTAAGATTTATTATACATTTCTTGTATGTTTTAATGGCAGAATCAGTGTGAAATGAGTTATTGTCTTGTATTGAAGATTATTTGAAGGACCCTCAGGGATTCTGCCTGAAAGTCTCCTAGCACTCAGCTTTTCTGAGTTCTTGGATCTGCTCTTGCTGGAGAGACGTGTGCATTTTATATGCCTTTCCTCTGTCAGCACTCTGTTGCTTTGACTTATTTGGGTTAGATTGTGTCTAAAATCTATTCTAGAGTTTTGTGTAATGAGCTAGAAAACTTAATTGAAATTGAACTTGTTAGAATCACATCTAAAATAAAAACATAAATAAATTCTAGGTAAAGGTGTGTTTTTTATTGTGTTTGGCTCTCTTCCCATCTCAATCCCTTGCTGTTTGAGTGCATGTATTCATTTTGTTTTTTAGAAAAAAATCTTTTGTCTACTTTTCCCTGCATATATGGTGTTGTAGTCAGTAACTTAAATCAGTATCACTGAGTTAACTTGGATAAATGATAATTTCCTTTTCAGAATCTCAGAAATTTTCCTCTTCCATTTCCCTTTGAGAGAGAGAGAGAAATGGAGAAATGATCAAACTTTGAATTCAACTTATTACTATATTTTATTAGCTATTTCATTACAGTCTTTTAAATTTTTTTTTTTTAAGAGAGGGTCTTGCTTTGTTGCCCAGGCTGGAGTATAGTAGTGAAATCATACCTCACTGCAGTATAGGCTTATTTTAAATAGAATCATCTTGGGTATCTGGCTGGCCACATACTCATTTTAAAAAACTTAATTATTGGGTACAATTATCTGGTATTCACATACTGAATAAAAATGTTGGATGAATGAAAAGATGAACTATATTTGTTTAGCCTTGCTGTTTTCCGGTTAATGAGGAAAATACAAGAGACTGGTATCAGTTACAGAATGTTCAAGAGGACGTAAGACAAGAACCCAGCTTTACTGAAGTTTTAACATTCCTTTTCCAAAAAAAATAAATAAATAAATTTGATTCTTAGAGGGAATAAGTAGCAAAGTCAGGAAATTCTTAGTCATTAGCTACTTTAGTTCCATATTTTTAGTATGTGGATATTTTTGAAGGTATTATTTTTATTATACTTAGTGTTGTACGCAAATGAGTTTGTGTGTATATGTCTATGTGTTATATAGAAATAAGGGATTTTTGGTTTCTTTTGGATATAGTATTAGAAAAAAAGTCTTTCTGTTCATAAAAATATAGTGAATTAGAGATACAATACTGTTACCGCATGTATGGCACTTCCTGCCCGCACAGAAGCTTACTCACTTTCATAAATCTTTTTTTTCTTGAACTTTTAGTAGTAGTTTAGTTTGTATTTTTCTTTTTACATGCTTACAACATATAAAATTTTTGAAAATCACCATTTCCTTCTACCAACATAGCAGACATTCTCACCCAGTCTCCCCCTCCTATGGCTGTGTTCAGGTAATGGTACCTATTTGAAGTTGATTTAATGTGCAACAACAGGATCTATGCCCAGTAAGTATTTTTATTTAATACATAAATTATGGTTTTATATAGCTAGCTTTTATATAAATCACATTAGAAACAAAGTTGATGGCCATTTGTCATTTGGTAAGCATACTTTTATGAATTTACCATATTATTTAGGACACTGGCTCTGATGGATTCATTAATATTTAAATAATGTCAGAAAAAGGAAATACTTTTTAAGAATGACCCAGCACTTTGAGAGGTGGAGGCGGGCAGATCACTTGAGGTCAAGAGTTCAAGACCAGCCTGGCCCACATGATGAAACCCTGTCTCTGCTAAAAATACAAAAATTAGCGAGGCGTGATGGCAGGTGTCTGTAATCCCAGTTACTCGGGAGCCTGAGGCAGGAGAATTGCTTGAAACTGGGAGGCAGAGGTTGCAGTGAGCCGAGATCATGCCAGTGCACTCCAGCCTAGGTGACAAAGGGAGACTATATCTCAAAAAAAAATTAGTTTTATTAGTAATCAGAACTTCATATAATTTGATGTAGGCATATAGATAAATATATGTGTATGTTTGAGTGTACGTATACACAGATGAATTTGATTTTTATGGCCCCTTTTGAAAAACTGATCTAATGGTATATTTTTTAAAAATGTTTATATCCTTTTAAGAATTTCATTTTTTCTTCCAGAAGAATATATTGGCTATATATTCTTGACTTGAGCCACTGCAAATTACTAGTAGCATTCTGTAATTAGAACTGGACTTAGAAGTCAAAGGGCAAGTTCTAGATTAGAGCTAGTGGGTTTTTTTTTTTTTAAATCATGTAATTTGGCCCACTGATTAGAGATTGAGGAACTCAGAGCTATAGAGATGAGAGTATGTTCCTAGTTCTACCCAATTTGTACTGATGACTTTGGGAGAATCATTTCATTTTTCTTTTATAAAACAGATAATTATTCCTGTCTTTATCCCCGTTGGTTCTCAACCAGGAACTGCCCCTGCAGGGAACATGTGGAAATGTTTGGGGGTGGGTTGCTTGTCATAACCCTTGGGAGCTCCTTGTCTTTAGGTCCAGGGGAAACCAGGGATACCAGAAATCCTGCAATGTGATGAACAGGTGCACAGGATGAAACATTGACCTGTGTAAACATCCAGAAATGCCCTCTGTAGAAACAGTGGCAGGACACGGTGAGGATCACCGGCAGTAATGCACCTTAATGGTGACTCCACCTGCCGCACAAAAAGGAGACTCTGCCCTGCCCTTCCATCTTCTGTTTCATAAACTTTTCCTCTTCTCAGAAGGCATTTTAGGATATGATTTATCCTTTTTATTTATTAATATTGAGTATTCCTTTTTATGGGAAATTTAAATATTGTGGTTCATCTTTTTAAGAACAGTTATTTTCTAATATCAAATGATTTTTATTTTTGACTGTAAGAAGAATACTTACAAAAGAATATAAGGTATATTAATCATATCAGATGTGATAAATGATGCGTCAGGTGGACAGCAGTTTACAAAGCTGTTTCCTGCAGTGAGACCAGTTGTGAATGAGCCTTTTCCTATTTCCTTAGGCCTCAATGGATCTTGTAAAGGAGTAGGAATGGACAGTGCTATTTCACTTCTCTGTCCTTCTCTCTCTGGCTAAGAATATGAAATGGTTTGAGGGGAAATACTTGCTTCTGTGGTAGTTAACAGAGTTTTGAAAATTCTGCAGAAATGAAATGGACAGAGAAAAGGATATGGCCACATTTTTATGTGATTTCATTACGTTATTGATGCGCTCTCCCTTTAAAAGGGGGTAATCAGGTCATTTTGATAAGTAACTTAGATGGAATATACATATTGTACTAACTCTTTTAAAAAATTGGTAGTTTATTTCACGCACTACTTCAAAGTTAGTGTTGCATCTAAACAGAATCTTTTCTGTTTTCAAAAATATTTTGTGTGACATGTTTTGAGAATTTAACTGAAAACTATTTTTGGAAATGGTCTATCATTGTATATACTCTTAAATTACTGGAGAAATAATTGTGAGAAGAGGTGTTCAGTAAAGTATTTTCTACTTATACCATCTTACATTTATTTCTAAACAGAGACAAAGCACGGAGGACACAAGAATGGGAAGAAAGGACTCTCGGGAACTTCATTCTTCACGTGGTTTATGGTGATTGCATTGCTGGGTGTCTGGACGTCTGTAGCTGTGGTTTGGTTTGATCTTGTTGACTATGAAGAAGTTCTAGGTAAGAATTTCGATATCTTATGTGAATTTGTAAGGGAGAAAGTGACATCTCTTAGGAATCTTGAATATTTGTTACTTTCTTTTTGGTACTGGCAATTTCTGTGGTTCTCAATAGAGTGAGGCTGAAAAGGGGTATGAAGAGGGTTACCTTGGAGTACTGTCTTTTGAACTTCTTTGAAAATGACCTGTAGCTTTTTTTTAAAAAAGGCTTTTTATCGTATGTCTGTCATACAGAGAGAAGTGTCATCAAACAGTACTCATTCTCACTATATGCAGTACCTTTTGGTTTCTATTCATTTTTATTATAAATTTTTAAATACTTGATCATGAGCCGCTAAATTTATTTAAGGACCCACTAATGAATCATAACCAGACAATATGCAAAACCCTTTCTTAGAGAGGGTTTTCAAAGCACACCCTTCTGTGTCTCTGTTGGGATGGGGTGAGTGTGTGCATGCATGCATGCAGGTGCTGGATGGGTGTGCTAAGATAGGCATTTGTAGATATGTTTGTGTGTGTATAGTGATCTGTATGCCGTTCTGAGAAAGTTGCTGTGGTTCTTCTGATAGTGACCTTTCTCCTTTTTCCTTTTCTCTCTGATAATCACCGCAGTTTTTCATTATTTTTTACATGAATGATTCTTTATTACTTTTGGAGTCACATTCTCTCTTGCTTCCCCAAAAATCTCTTTTTAAAAGAAATAAAATTTAATATTACAATTCAGTTTTCTTTCACTATATTCATCATTTTATGTACCCATTAGCATTGTCTAATTCCAGATTATTTTTGTTACCCCCTTTCCGTTAAATACCCAATCTCCTCCTCTTTCTCTCTCCTGGCAAATACTAACCTACTTTCTGTGTCTGTGGTTTCCTTTATTCTGGACATTTCACATAATGGAACCGTACGCTATATGGTCTTTTGTACCTGCCTTTTTGCACTTAGCATGATGTTTTTAAGGTTCAGTACTTCATTTTACGGCTGCATAATATTTCATCATATGGACACACCACATTTTGCCTATTATCAGTGATGAACATTTGGGTTGTTTCCACTTCTTGGCTATTGTGAATAATGGCCCTCCTCTTTAGTAATCCAATGAAAGATGTGAACCTGGCTCTGGAAAAAAATGCATATTTGTCTATATGTACAATGTTGCATGGATGATCTCCCTTTCCCTTGGACATCCTGTTCTTCTGCTTTACTTGTCAGATTATAGACAACTTTTTGGGGAGAAAGGGCAAAAAATAACAAAATATGCTTATCTGTAATCTGTTTTTTACTGAAGTTTTTCATTTTCATTACTTTAAGGAAAGTGTCTCTGGATAGATTGACAGACCAACAGGGGGAGGATTTTAGTTTGGAGACAAATTTCTGAGTAGATTTATGCTTACTGACTTATGTTGTTAGGGAACATATCTTAAAAGAGGAGATTTTAAATATTCGTACCTTTAAGCACAAATAACAATTTTCATGTTTTTACATGCATGCAGCCAAAGCAAAGGACTTCCGTTATAACTTATCAGAGGTACTTCAAGGTAGGCTACTGGAGATGCATTTCAAGTCTACGTGTGTTAGTCTCTAATACCTCATACTTTTTCTACTAATCTAGTTATTAACATTAGAATGTAAGTGATAGGACAAATTTCCCATTGTAGGCTTGTCAGGAGGGATAGTATTTTCTTTTACTGTTTCTTGAGTTCTGTCTTCTGCATAGCCTTGATTAGTACTTTTTGTGTTCTTAGCAGTTGAAATAACATCCTTATCTCTTCCTTCATCATTATCATTTTAAATGTGTATGTGTTTGCTAAGTCAGACTTCTATATAGCAAGTTAACCATTTCCCTAAGTACAGCAAGGGCTCTGGGGAGATGGGATTGATCAGAGCTACTCTGAGCCAGAATTTCTGCCTGCTCTTCTGTGGTCTTTTAATGCACTTTGTATTGAAGAAATGATAAGAATGCTGCCAACTGTTTTTTTGTTTTTATTTTTGGTTTTAGAGCTGATGCTCTAAATCCTGTTTAGAGCATTGTGAATCCTGTTTAAAATATTGCTGTACCTTAACATGATTATGTTTCTCCACAGTCATTGTCCAGTAATGAATTAGAATCGTGGATTTTAGGACACTTTTTTAGGAAGTTGAATGTTTGAAATGCTAAACAAAATAACAGTGTTTCTTGTGAGAAAGCATTAAAGCCTAAAAGCATTTTTTGTTCTTGAAGAGGAAAGGCTTTGGTAGTATTGTCTTCTCAGCATATCTGATTTAAGCCCTTTTTCCTTATAGTATAGATGGCCAGTACTAATTAAGTCGAATAATCATAAGTTTTCTTTTATAATTTCAGGAAGCCTCCAGTTTTATATGCTTTATTTTCATAATGGTCTTTTATTTTTAAAGGTTAATTTATGATATTTGTTATAAATCATGATTGTAAAATATAAACTTAATGAGTTTTATATTGTTAGTACTTAGATTCTGTGTTAATCTGTTTATATTTAGTTTCTGTTTGAGGCTGGGTTTTTTGGTTCAGATATTGATAATGTGATGAAATTTCATGCTTTAGAAACATTAAATTTCAAGTAACAGGAATAAATCAATATTGTTTCATATATACTAAAAACTTTACGAAAAATATTTTTAGCAGTATAATAAACATTGTTCTCAAGTAATTAGATCAGGATGTTGTTCAATCTTTAAAGAAAATGCTATGTCACTTTTATTTCTTGGAATTTGTTAGCTGAACATTTCCTGACTACCTGCAATGCTCACTATTTTGAAGTAATATATTAATTTGACACTGCTTTGCAGGATTAAAAGAGGAAAGAATTGCATTAATTGGTAACATTTATGACTGAGCTATAGGACTTCACTAAGTGGTGATACCTTATTAAATTTGTTTTCTCTTTTGTTCCCATATCCATCATTTCTCTTCTATTGTAGGAAAACTAGGAGTCTATGATGCTGATGGTGATGGAGATTTTGATGTGGATGATGCCAAAGTTTTATTAGGCAAGTACACATTTTATGTTTTTTGTTAGTGATGATAAAATGCTAGAAACAAATATTTTTGATTTAATATCTATCTCAATAGTATATATCTTACAGAAGATATTTCCCCCTTAAATCATATATTTCATTACTGTTAAAATTTAAATGGCTTATTTTTCCACAGACTCTTCCATTTCGATTTACTTTTATCAATGAATAAGTGTATATATCTCTTACATATATATCTTTTGATATGTATAACAATATCATGTGTGTTTTCAAATTTAAAGTACTTCTTACTCTGAACTTAGAATTGGAATAGGTAATATCCTAGTCTGTTTTCAGATATGGTAATTATAGCCATTCTTCATTGACATTAGACATTCACTTCCATTTCAAAATGTAAATTTTTGCAGTCTTACATAAATTAATTTTGAAACAAAAGTGATAGTAAACATCTTAAAATGTCCCATGCATATTTTAATGGTAGCATTAAAATATGAACTTCTGGTCTTTTGACCCAGTGTCTTTGTTTTGGAAGTCTTGGAATCTTCTCTTTCTACTGTCTTTATCAGAGATGTTTCTTGTAATAAATAACAATGTGGTATTCCCTCATTTGTTTTAAAATGCTGTCTTGCTGGAAAGAATGATGTTAATTTTAATATGCAAATTTTATATAATCTTGTGAGACTTCCTTTGCTTTTGTATTTAGCATAATTCATGTTAAAACTTTTTATATCAGAGTCTTTAGAAAAATAATGGATATGGCATGATATTATACATTAAGCTTATAAAAGAATGACCCAAAGAAATTCTTAATTACACTGTATTGTGTATATTTTTTAGACATGAAAACATAATAGGGTGCCACATCTGTAACCCAGTGAAATTGCTTTTAGTAGATTAATCTCACCTCCTTATGAAATAAAAAAAGTTCTAAATATGAAAATAGAGCTTTAGTTGTGGTTAAGAGTAAGAAACCTTCCTAATTTTGACCTATGTTAGTCAAAAATAGTTGACCTATGTTAGTTTTTTTTTTCTTACCATCCATTGGGAATTCGTGTTTTCTGCTTATTGCTGGTAATTTACCATGAAATTTCTTTTCCTGTCTTAACTTTAATGAAATTTTCAATATAGCTCCGTTATTCTGTATCTAAATTTGAGTTTCTGTAAATATAGTAAATCTTCAGATGACTATAATCCTAGGCACGTAAAAGAAACAAAATTATATAGAACTTGTCAGAATGATGTCAATTTGGTTGCCTATAAATGGTTTATTAGTTCATTATATTACTTTAAATGACAAATTCTGAATAGCAAAACTTTTTAAAGAAAAAATAAAATGTGGGCTAAGTTCCCTCATTTTCAAAAATAATACTACTTCCTCATCTGTATTCTGCTGATTTTTATTTGTTTGCTTTTGCTTAAAACCAGCTGTCTGGTCTGTCAGGAAATGTCAACCATTAAAAATTAAAATGTGGTATTTCTTTGATAAAATAACACTGATTTTTATAGCAAACCATTACCTTAATAACTTGATTTTTAGTGTAGTTGAGATTTCAAAAGGTCATTCCCTTTAAGGTTTTTAACTTATCATTAAGAAGTTAATTAATTGTAACTTTGAATATTGCTGTTTGCAGGTATAGTGTGAGGAACACATAAATTGTGCCATTTATAAGAATTGTACACTTGGAGATGGAACTAAGTTTGGTGAATATCAAGGTTTATTTTGGTAACTTTACTAATAAATGCATAAAGACAGGTCAGATAAAACTACATAAATACTTTTTTACTCTTCCTGTACTCATTTGCAGTTGGCTTATAGCTTTAGTACAGATGAAACACACCAAAGGTGAAATGTTAGGCCTACTCATCACCTCTAATTTCTATAGTGTTTTGAGTTCTCTGCATGAAATGCAACCTTAACTTGAATTGAGTTTTATGACTAAAGTTCTTTTCTGGTTTGTGAGATTGTTGTAGCTTAGAGGTGCCTCTGTTACTGGAAGGTTACTGCAAAGACAGCCTGGTGAAATTGTTGGGGTAACAGAGGCTTCAGTGGGTTCTGTGTGCTCAGGGAGGGGTTATGGGGGAGCGCTACGGTGAGTGTATGCCAAAAATGAAGCCAGACTTCCACGGTACATTCTCACTGGAGAGGCAGCTTAATGGTAAAGTTTACACTTGAAGAGTTTAGGTTTTAGATTAAGGCCAAGGAGATCTAAGGGAAGGGAGGAAGGTAGGAGGTCAGAGATGAGAGGAGTGCTTGGCATCACAGATATAGTAATAGTTGAGATATGTTAAACTTTAGTAGATTTTGCATTTATTTCATAAGTATTTCATTTTAGATTCTCAAATCTACATATATCTAAATCTTAAAAAGTTGGGGAAATGTACACATTCACATGGTGCATTTCACTCAGTTTTAAGGTTTGGCTTTTCTTGTGAAATAGAATTAAAGATATGTGAGTAAATCAAGATCAATAACCATCATTAATTTTATTATTTGATTATTTCTGGCCAAGGCCCTTCTGATTCTTTGAAAATGTACTAAGCCTATTGTTATTCATTTACACAGCTGCTTATTTTTGTGGCCAGATTAAAATATAGGTATCTTTTGTAGCTGTTCGTATTATTGAACACTGCCTTGTTTGGAAATGTAGCCTTTAAAAGCTTATTTTCCGAATAAAATCAATAGGAAAGTGACTTGGACACCAAATCCTTAAAGTGATACACCTAAAAATCACGTGGTTGCCCTTTGTCCTATGGCTAGCACCTAGCTGGTGTCATATCAGGTATGACTGGAAAGCAAAAGGGAAGCCAGTCAGCACTTGGTAAATCCTGGAAGAACATTTGTAGATTGGTACATGCATGAGTGAGCAGGTGGGAGAATACCAGCCCTTTCCAAGCCAAAGGCATTCTCTGGGTTGAACCCTGTTCTTAGAGGTTCAGAAGGAATCACATACCCAGAATATGTGTTTTTCTCTTTGGACCAGGACTTTTGTCTTCAGAACCACAAGAATGTTGCTTGGCTGGGTAAATAGTTTTGTTCAAATGCTTTTGCATATTTGTTGCACGTGGTCACCTGTCATACTGAAGGATGAAAAAGCTTTATATTTTATATGCAGTACTCAGAAGTACTTGTAATATATTGGCAAATGGAGAAAAATAAAGATGTTTATACCATGCAGCTATAGTGTTTTAAGGCAGAAAGAAGAAACAGTGTTATTCCCACAGAGACTTAGTTGGGAATACAGATCTCTGTTTACAGCATTTGTCAACTGCTAAATTCAGTGAAAAAAAAAATCTAGGCTTGTCAAAAAGTAATTTAAATACCAACTGCAATTTGTGTTTATTCCTACCAAAATCATGAAGAATGACATAATATAGTTCTTTTGAATAAAGCAGAGAAATTTCACCATAACCTTTAAAACTTTTAAATTAGTTGTTGTCTTACCCTTCATCTGCCAATCTTGACTGCTCATAGTTATACTACATGGAGAAATTGTATGTTGCCAAAGACTTAAATGATTGAATTAGGTGGGTACAACCAGAAAAGCTTGGTGGCCATGAATGTTAACATTTCTTACAGCCAGAACACCCTACCCTGTTATTCCTCCTCAGAATTATGGGATCTTGCCATATATAGCTTGGTAGTATTGGCAGATTCTGATGCTTACTGGAGCTAAGAAACCTTTGCTACCCAGAGGCAGTTCTTCACAGGAAAAAGAAGGAAATGATAAAAACAATATATACTTTGATTTACTTCTATCCTAAGGGTCTGTTTTGGGTCTAATACTTTAAAATGACAGTTGTAAGGGGTCTTAGCAATAGAAGCTAATTTCACAGGTTCATGGGGAGAGGAGTTTGGAATGTTCTTACTGAAAGTGACTGGCTAAGGCGTTGATCAAATTTCATATCTGTAGGCAAACTATTATTAACAGCTGACTCTTGTCATTGGCCGGAATTACAGAACTGCGAGTCAGTTGCCAGAATTTTATAGAGCTACCACATTTAATAGTGTTAAAATTTAAGTGTTAAAATTATCTGTGATACATAATTTGAGTATATTTATGCCCATCTATGGATGTTATAAATGGTAATACTGCTAATTATATTAACTCCAAAATTTCCTAAGTTAACTCCAGTTCTTAAGTGGGGTGGTGGCGGGGGAGGGGAGAAGTTTGAGGAAATAAGCCTTTGTAGTTTGAATGAATGAATGGATGTGTGTATAATCAACTCTCGATAAAATCTGGTTGATAAATGAGCAAATCTGGAGGTTGTCAGAGTATATATCTTTTCTTCCCTGAAACTGCTTTTATTCACTCTTCCTTTTACTGTCTACTGATTTTCCATTATTGTCTATTGACTTTGACGGATAAAATTTTTTCTTTTCAACACTAATGAGAGAAAGGCAAACTTGGGTAGGGGCTGGTAGGAGTGGTGAGGATTGTTCAAACTGTGGCTTTCTTTTGACATTTGATTGAGAGTTGATGGTAAGGTGTGCATTTTGATGGACTTCTTTATTTTCCAAATGTGGTTTCTATAAACCTCTCTGACCATGATGCACATCGTTTTTGAGATCGCCCTTCCTGCACTTCTTTTTTCCACCTAACTGCTCTCCTTATTTTCTCTCTCTCTTCCTTTATTCTTATGTAGGCCTGACCAAAGATGGCAGTAATGAAAATATTGATTCTCTTGAGGAAGTCCTTAATATTTTAGCAGAGGAAAGTTCAGATTGGTTTTATGGTTTCCTCTCATTTCTCTATGATATAATGACTCCTTTTGAAATGCTAGAAGAAGAAGAAGAAGAAAGCGAAACTGCAGATGGTGTTGATGGTACGTCACAGAATGAAGGGGTTCAGGGAAAGACTTGTGTCATACTGGATTTACATAACCAGTAACTTTGATTCAGGGATTGAAGTCATTGGCAAATGAACACCCGAAGCAGCCTCCTTTTTCTTTTCTTTCCTTTGCTTATGCAGGGCTTAATGTGCAGTGGGGCGGTTGTAATCTTACCATCTTACCATGCAAGTCAACCATGTGATCTTGCCCAGTATAGCTACTAGCTAGTCCCTTGCTCGCTGGACTCCCCCCACTTCTAGTCAAGAAAGTGGCATTCCTCATTCTTGTAGTCAGCTACAAAGTACACTAAAAATGATGTTCTTGGTGGTATAATTGGTTTCTGTATCGTTTTGTTTCAACTCGTGTATTCACTGAACTAAATTTGGACACTTAACAGTAGCAAATTGTGTTGTGGTTAACCCTTGATACTTGTCTTTCTAACACACTATTAATTAAAATGATTCTAATGGGTTTCATTATAAAAATATTTCTGGCATGATTTATAAGTTAAATGCTTCTCTGTTTTTTAACATGACTGATGTATAAAGTGATGGTTCTTTGCAAAGCTGATATTTTTTATTGTAATTTGTTTAGGTTAACTGACTTGTCAGATTCATACAAATTTCTATGTAAAATTCTGTGTTAATGGTGCTTTTAAAATGATTTTGAAATAACCCCATGTTTTTGCCTTAGAGTAAGTTAACTTACTGTTTTCAGATAGTAGCATGACATATTTCTGTTTATGAAAGCAAAATTTATTTTGTTTTATTTCCAAATATACATCCAGAGAAAGTAATTTGTATTTTTTTTAAAGTAGGCATATTACACGAGGGAACATGTGAATATGTATCTTAATGTTGTACATATTAAAATTGTTCAGCCTAAATAAGTCTTTTTCCATTTTTTCCTTCATTAATTTATTGAATATTGATTTTTGCTTAGATGTAATGTGATTTTTAGAATTATAAACTTATTGAAGTGGTCATTTTGTTTAGGGCAGTAAACTTTTTACATTAGAACACCTTAAAAACATATTTGAATCCATTTCTTTAAAGTGAGTTTGCTTCAATAGTAACAAAAAGTTATATCAGCTATATACAAATTGCATTTTTTAAAATGAAATTTCATCAGTTTCCCCTCAAGAAAAGCTCTTCTAGGGATAAGGAGGATAAGGAAAGGGTTGTTACTTTTTGAAGGAGTAAAGTTCCATGGTTTTAAATCTTTTCCAGCATCTCTAAGATTTTGGTTAACTTTAGTTTGTCAAATATCTAAAAATTTGAAAATGTTTGCATTTCTTCACCTTTTATTTAACTGTGATTTCTACTTTTCAAATATTTCTTGTCTTTCTATGTCTAATCAAATTATTTTCAGTAAGTGTGTCATTCATCCATTTATTTTGAGGGCACTGTGACAAGTTTAGATAGTTTGCTAGAAATTATTCTTGTAGCTTGTCATAACGGTAGCTTGAAAGCGACAGTCTCAAGCCAGCACAGGACATCACCCCTCTGCCTACCATTTACCTGTGTCAGAGAACACTGTCCAATTTGCTAATCTTATTGAAAAACATTCTATAGCTAATTTTGGTTATGGATACACACGCTGGTCAGTGATCTCTTAAAGTTTAAATGGCTATGAAAGCTCTAATTTGTCTTGCCCTCACTAATGGGCAAATATGTTTTATTCTGTTAATGCTTCTGATAGCCCAAAGGATCTGTTTTCAAATATTCAAGGACTTCAGCTAAGCTGTCACTTAGTAGCATGTTCTGCAACAAATGAATACCTTTCAGTAATGTTCCTTCTGAAAGCTTATTCAGTCTCTGTATTTATTGTGTCTTCTGCTTTTATATTTGGGTACTATGAAATATCAAAGTTTATTAGGTTTTAATTCTAAAGGAATCTTCAGCCTCACTCGATGAAATTCACCTAGCCAAATGTCTGGGATATACTTTTTAAGGCAATTTTACTTGTTAACGTGTCATTACTACTAACACTAGAAGATATTTGATTAATTGAGGAGAAGTAAATGTTTAAATTTTTGTGTTAAAAGTGTTTGGAATTATTACTTTTTCATCAGGCTTTTTTGTCATACTAATACATATTTTATGTACAGAAATTAATTATGCTTTATTTTTGTAAGTGAAAAACAAGAATGTGGATAAAAATTTGCCACTTGTTTTGTACCACCCCTCATTAGCTCCACCGAAAGCCTCTGATGAAGGTGACACCCAGATAGCTGATGAACCCCTGACTTCTGTGACTTCTGTCAACTTGTGCCTAAGGCGTGTGTTTGTGTGTGTGTGTGTGTGTGTGTTAAAATAAAGGTATTTGCAAAACTGTGGTGTAAAGTATCAAAGCAGATCAAAATTACTTCACTTTTGTTTTCTTTATTATGTATTGCTATAATTCTTAATTTTCTAAGGGTGTATTTTCTAATTTTCTGTTTAATAATATAAGTATTTTCATAGCTCTTGTCTTTTAAACTTAAGAGCCAAATTAAAAAGGCAAAATCGTATCCCATTCATTTGAATATTTATATATGATTATGAAATTTTAAGTTATACTATATTTACTCTACCTTTTCAGTTTCGAGCAATCAGAGAAACTCTGTGGAACAGGCTTCATGTTGAGATGTAGTGTTGTCTCCTCGGAGTCACTGTTCCAGCTTCTTCGGATGCACTGACATTGTCCGATTGCAGAGGTGCTGGGTTCTCCGAAGTTTGGCACAAAAACAAGACAGCATTCTTTCAGCCCTATAGCTCCTTCAGCCTGCCTTGCTTTGGGACATGAGTGGTGGGTATAAGTCAGTTGGGCAGGTGTCTTCTGGGTGACAGTCTTACCCAGTCCAGAGGCGTGGCTGTCAGCCTGCTGCCCTGGGGATCCTGCAGACGCCTCGGTGCTGAGGACATACAGAATGGTGGGCTGTCCTGCTTTTTCATCTTGTCCTTGATTCTTTCTTTCTTCTAGAAATTACCTCCCTGTCTTATAGAGCTGTATCCAGACATGAAGGAAGGACTATTTTCTGTTTGTTTTTATTTACAGTTAGAACAGATTGTTTCTTTGTCTACCCTGATGTTTGCAACTTTGGAGAATTATCAAAAAATCAGATCTAGCACAACGAATTATTCTTAATTTGATCACTTGGTAGTTTACTTTTGGGGGATTGATGCTCCATGACCCTTTCTAAATAATTTCCTGGGCTAGCTCCTTAAGTCCATAAAACATATAAGAAATTTTCTGTGATTTAGCTGTGGAATATTTGATGACAATGCCTATTTGGAATGCTTAAAGAACTCAGTGACTCAGACTTTATTTTCATAAGTTAATTGATGGAACCAGTATGCAGAATTTTCTGCTTTCATTATTTGTTGAGATGACCATGTTATACATAGGAATAGAAATTAAGTAGTTTGTGGACTCCTTGAATCTAGGAACCAGATCTTAGGTTTTATTTGAATTCCTCTTCAATGGTAAGCCCTACATGTGATATTCGTTAATATCATATGAATAATGTCATATGCTGGTGTTGATCCTGATGGGTGAGGAGTTAGTGCATAATAAAATACTGAGTTTTTTTTTTTTTTAAACTGGTTTAAGTAAGTGGTAAGATTATTGGACATTTTTTTTGCAAGAGAAATGACATTTTGAGTTTCTATAACAAACTGACCCATGCTAACAAAAATCTTCAGGTGACCTTTCTTGCCTCCAATTTGTATTTGAATCTACATTTTACCTTTTTTTCCCCTCTGTCTCTGGATTTTAATTCCTTTGTGTTTATTTAGTCTTTCAGTTTTCTCATGTTCTGATTCTCCCTTCCCCACTTATTATAGAGGGTTGGTGAGTTTGTAGCTGCTGCTGCTGCTGCTGCTTTTTAAAATCTGTACTATATTATTCAAAAATATAATACAAATATGTGTACTATATTATATTATACTATTTTATTTAAAAATAAAAAAGAAATTGGGGTAGTGTCCTAACATGCATTTTACCAAGCGTAGACATCTGTTCTGGAGGGACAGTCCACCTCGCTAGCAGGACTGTTAATTGGACATTTAGGGCCTCTTTTTGCTATGTGTAGTCATGTTGAAATAATTATGATGTTCCAGTATGGGATAGAGGAAGGTGAGAAGGCTCAAAGTGACTGACAGGTCTCACCAGAAATGGAGTGGCTGAAATGACCGGAGTCTGAAGTGATGTCCAGGCCAATCCTAGAGCTGACTGTCTGGTCTGCAGTAGCTACTCATGTGTCTGTAATGCAGTCAGTCTTCTAAAATCATGTCTGTTGTATGTGGTGTAGCCACAGGCCTAGCCATTGGCTTAATGGTTCAAACATTTTCATTCATAGAGAACATTTCATTTTGAAAATGTGGAATAGTGGCTTGAGGCAGTTGCCAAAATAACATAAATTTCCTTTAGGCAACTCCCTTATGTTCTAAGGGAAGAATGTAAGACCTTTTTTCTAAATTCTGTATAAGAATTCCCAAATAGTTGCCAGAGCTGTTAACTATCATCTCTTTAAAAGCTTACATCAAAATAAACATAAAAGGATGAAAAGAAAGTAAATAGCGTGGCAGTTATTTTTCAACATGTTCTTAAAGCACATCCTAATGCTTTGATGATTTCTTAGATGGGAATATAGTCCATTAATTAAAAAAAATCTTGTCTGAATGGATTAAGAATTACCTAAGGTGTTTCTCTTTTTGCTTAAATTGATAGAATTTTGTTCATACTACTTGAAACTATTTTTGACAAGCTACTGTGTTGTCATGAATTTTATTGTTTCATGGAATCTTCCCTTTTTCCCTTTTTCTTTTTTTTCTTTCCTAGACGTTAGCTATGGTAGTAAAGATAGAAAAGGAGAAAAGTAGGGCATGCTTGCAGCATTTTGGCACTGTAGGGAGAATCTACATCAACCATAGTTACAAATGATAAGAATTTAATTCTGTCAAGAATTAGAAGGGTGGGTCTTATGTACCTTCCTTGTGGTTTTCCCTTAAGTCTACTTCTCTAATGCCCACAAACTAATATTTTTCCCCTCTACATGCTGTCACTAATCTTGGATTACCACTGACCCCTTTCTCCATTACTGCATTTTGCATGGTTGCTGCGGAAAAAAAAAATCTGTTATAAAATTAACTGCACTGACCCTCTCTCGGGGGTGTGCTGCTTTGACAGTTTCTCTCCTTAGCAGTCATTCTAAACCTTCCCCACACCCTTCCTTCTTCCACTGTCATTTTATTCCACTGCAGAGATGATTTTGCTTTCTGCTTTTTTTTAAGATAATCAAGTGTGGCTTCATGTGGTTATTTTCTTTTCTCTTTCCTTTACAACATTACTATCTCAGGATTTTTTTGAGCTATTGTTTCTTCTCTCATTCGCTCATCATTTTTTCAGACATTGTATACTCTGGTTTCCAAAGCTGACCATTTCCCTTGAGCCTGTACCTCCTGCTGACCTCATCACCTCTCTCCTGTCATGAACTTAGTTAGCTTCTTTTTCTTACAGACATGGCTGCGTTTCCTTAACCTTCAAAACCAAACCTGTATAAAATTCTTCAGACTCTTAATTCTTTTCTGCTCCCGTCAGAATCTGGGGAAATTCTAAATATAATCAGTTTTCTTCTAAGGAGATAAGGAAGGCTGATACGAGCACCCTAGGATTTTGGTCACTTTTTCTTCCACCTATGTTTTCTCATTGTTGTGGTGTGACTGCCTTCTCTACTGCATGTAAAACTGTATTCTGAAAAACTTTAGAGGATATTTAGTAACTGACATAATACAATAATGTCCTAATCCTAAACCTTTGTTCATGCCTTCCTTCCTAAAACTGACCATTATCACTTTCTGAAAAAACACATTTTCTTCTTTTTTTTTTTTTTTTAAATTTAATTTCATTTTATTTTAAGTTCAGGGATACAAAAAAACAAAAAACAAAAACAAAAAAAGAACTTATATTTTCTTGACTCTCTTTTTGTTTCGTTGTTACTAAGGGGCTCCTTTGTTAACTGTTTTCAGTGGTATATTTTCTTCACTTCTATATACTTTCCTTCAGAGACTGGATGTAATAATTGTTGATAAATTATTAGCTTGGTTCTTATGTCAAAAATATTGAAAAATTATTGGCTGTTTTTAAGCACATCCTAATGCTTTTAGAAAAGGTAGCATGAGGTGATACTTTGGAGTTTTATATGGTGCACTGCACTTAGTTCATTTGTATCACTGTAAGGATTTATAGCCAAACCAAAAACATTTAAAATAAAGTATAGCACTGTTTATTTTTATATGTTTCACTAATCTGATGCTAATCTAATATTTAGGCTTATTCATGGCAAAAGTTAACTCCAGTCTTTTCATCCATATAGCTCTTTTTACCTAGAACATAACGGTGAGGGTAGGGAGAGGGCAGTCTGGGTTTCCTCACTTTATTTTTTAATAGGAAAATATGGATCTGCCGTGGGAGAACATGCAGGAGTCAGGACGGGGACATAGCAATACTAGAAACACATTTTAATGTTTTATGCTAATTTGTTTTACACATTGGATACTGCTCATATTTAAAGGTGGGTATTACAATAATAGTTTTGGTATTCTGAAATAAACTTCAGTGGAGAGTGGTTGGAAATAGCACTCAATATTGCAGGGTGATACACTGTTTTGGACAGAGTTTAGGAAATAATCAAGTTTTGTCTGAAAAAGAATTGTTAAGCACATGGGAATAAGTACTGGTTAGTTATGCTTATCTTTGTATTTCATGTAATTGGACAAATATAACCATAGTCACTTGTTTACATTTTTATATTGTCAGTGGTAAGAGATACTAATACGTTTTTGAAGAATAGTGATATTTCAACCAAAATAAATTACTGTTCTTAAATGGACGACCTCATTTGATAGACAAAAATTGCTATGAATAGAGAAAGGGGAGGTTTGAACAATATAGTAGTACAAACATCTCACACTGAAAGTAGAAGTTTTGAGAAACATACAAAGTGGGTTTTACAGTTTACAGCTGGAAAAATGTCAGATAGCTTTGGGGACTTTCTTATGACCACACCTTCGTTCTTTAGTGACTGGTTATGCATGGGCTTACCCCACTTCCTGAGGAGATGAACAGTAAACATTGCACCTGCAACCCTAATGTGCCTAAGAAATGGATTGGCAACTTGGAATGGAACTTTGGAAAGTTTGCCAATACATGAGCATAAACCAGCCTTTGTGTGACCGAGAGAGAGAATTGGGAAGACCAATTCAGTCGGATGCTAAGTACAGCCTGGTTGGAATAAAGAGTTAGAGGTATATCATTAGAGACTCAAAAATAAATCCATTATCAGAACTTTCATTTGCCAAGAGAGGAAATAGAAAGCTATTGCCACGTTTTGAGAGTGAAAAAGTACTATGTGTTTATGTAATACTGCCATTCTTAACTTGCTCGTATAATTTTTGTTAAAAGAAAATTTGAACTGATAGAAGAGCAGTGATTGTTCAGACAGTAAAGATGGAAACTATCAAAATATACTATCCTTTTTTTGGATTGCAAATGTAATTGAAAAGTGAAGTAAGGTCCTTGGTCCTTCACTCTAGTACTTTTAATTGATCATCTGTGACCCAAACAGAAGTCCACCACTGAGTAGTAAATGCCATTTCCAGTGGCAATTAAGTATTTCTAATGCCAACAATTCTTAAAGATCTAAGCCAAACTGTGAAGTTGATTAAATCATAAATCGTAGGCTGATTATAATGCACTTATCTGTTAAAGATAGTGAAAGGAAGGCTTTAAAGTGACACGTAAATAAGAGAGATATTGGAGTAGTTTTAAATGGTGAATATAAGTAACTTGTTTTATAGTGACATTGATTTTAACTATAGACACTTTTTTTTGAATTCCCTTAATATTTTTTATTTATAACTTATTTTTGTCTTGTAAATATCAACAGAAGGATCCAGTGGGGTAGCCAAGAGAAAAACTAAGGCTAAAGGTATTTTCTTTTTTTTCAAATTAGCCTTGAGTGAACCAAGTTTAATGTTTGAAAATGCATGACATTTTCTGGGAATGTTAATGTAGCTACTAATGCTAAACATTATTGCTTTGGGGTCTTGCTCGGGTGCACCTTAGGTTGTAAGTAGCTTTATACAGACTTCATCAAAAAATGTTCTGCAGATAATTTTAAGTCATTATCTTTTCATGTTATCAAAGCTTTGTAATAGTCTTTAAATTAAGAATGTATATATTATGGCAATATCACATATTTTTTATGATATATAAATATTAAATTTACACATAAACATCTTACCTTGTTTCCTAAAAGCTTAATTAGTTTGACATTTTGAATTACTGTTGGAAAAGATGAAGTCTTCAGCAATTGGTTTTATTTCTCCAAAAGCTTTTATGACACTCTGTCTTAGAGCACAGTAAGAGTTAGTGTGATCCAAATGTATAGTTTTCAGTAAAATGAAAACTTAGATGTATAATGTAGAACCTGCATTACATTGACATAGAATTTGCTGTTTGATATTTTAATTCATTAAAAATTATTATACCTGTCAACCATTTGTAGACTTAACAGCTCAGTATTACAGCTTTACTTTATATGCCAGTGGTTATTCTTGTTCATTGTTAGTGATCATATTCTTTCTGGGGAGAGACATGGGGGATGTGCATGTTTTTCTTCATAAGCTTGTGATATTCTTGTAATCATTTCAAGTGCTTGGCATATTGTTTGTAGTTTTTTTGCTGAAATATGAACAGATGAGACTGTGATTCACAGTGTTTTGTGATTTATATTTTGAGATCAGGAACTTTTATATTTTATTTTATTTTTGAGACAGAGTTTTGCTCTTGTCACCCAGGCTGGAGTACATTGGCATAATCTCAGCTCACCACAACCTCCGCCTCCTGGGCTCAAGCAATTCTCCTGCCTCAGCCTCCCAAGTAGCTGGGATTACAGGCATACACCACCATGCCTGGCTAATTTTTATATTTTTAATAGAGACAGAGTTTCTCCATGTTGGTCAGGCTGGTCTCAAACTCCTGACCTCAGGTGATCTGCCCGCCTCCGCCTCCCAAAGTGCTGGGATTACAGGTGTGAGCCACCATGCCTGGCCAGATCAGGAACTTTTAATGGTTTAACCTTTCCCACCTGAATAATTTCTGAGGATGAAAACAATTTTCATCATCTTATTTTTATATAAATAACGATGAAACAAATTGACAATACAATATTTTACTTCTTGACCTAGAGAAGCAAATTAAACATTAAAGACTGAAGTTTTAAAAAGCAGTGTGCAGACCAAAACAAGCATTGCACATGCGTTATACTCTTGCAATGCCAGCATCTATGTTACTATCCAAACAGCATTGAAATAGAATGAAGACTCAGAGCATGACCCTGAATGAATACTATTCTGTATTCTTAGAAGACTTTAATAAGATTTTTTAAGGAAGAACTGAAGAATCTCCTGGTTGATCACCAGGAAATTCAATTAATGGAGAAAGCCTGTGTGATATTTTAATCTGTTAATCAAGATTTTATCGGCCTAGAAAGGTAGAGTACTTTTAGTGAGTACTGCACATTTGATGCTCATTTTGAACACCATTTGTGCTATATAAGTTTTACATGATTTTGATGGGCAAAAACATCTTCCACATTTTATTATATTAAAGAAATATTTCATTTTCTTTGTTTCTGCTTAAATGTGGTAAACACCTTATGATTTCCTGATGAGAGTTCAAACAGATGAAATTCGGAGCTTTTGCTAACTGCTTTATTAAACTTTACATAAAGCGAGTTGAAAGCAATACCTTCCGTGAGATTTGGAATTAGCTGTGTGTTTCATTTAATTGCTCTGACAACCCTATGAACGTAGAAGACGTGTGTTAGCTTGAGTGGCTCTACATAAATTAACAGGGAAACATACTTAAAGGAATACTGATTTCATGATACCTAAAAAGAAAAAGGCAATTCTAATTTGTCCTTTATACTATAGATAATGATTTAAAAATTTCATATACATGACAATTTTTTGCCTAGTAAACTAAGAAAATGAAATTATATTTAATATTATTTACATACATTTGTCTTCAAAGAAGCACATGTATTTTAAGGAGATACTTTTTTGTTTGAGCTAAACATTTTAAATTATCTTTGTATATGTTTTTACAAATTATGAAAAATTTGTTCTTAAGTTGCCAGTGTTCCTTTAATTATGTCATTATAGTTATGAAGTGTGAGTTAATACTTTGTGTAAAGTACTGCCTTCATGGTGCACTCAGTTTTATAATAGTGCATGCTAATGTTGTTTTAAGGCAAGTCATACTGTATTTCAAGATGGAAAAGTTGACAAGCTTCCAGCATTGTTTAATAGTTGATATTTTATAGAGGTTTGCATCTATTTTTAACCGCTATAAAGACTAGTGAATTAAAGTAACTTTCTGAATGTGGATTTCCTGTGTGTGAAGAGATAAAAAGAGAATACCTTTTCACTAACTTCCTGTTCTGTGATTAAGAGATCCTGTCAATAAACCTTTTTTCCTTTAATTGGAAAATCTGAAAGTTAAAGAACTCACTAAAGAGGAGCTCAAGAAGGAAAAAGGGAAACCTGATTCAAGGAAGGAAAGTAAGAACGAAGAGAGAAAAAAGGGGAAGAAAGAAAAAGAGGATGACGGAAAGGATAAGAAAATTGCTGATGCAGACCTGTCCAGGAAGGAGTCTCCCAAGGGTAAAAAGGACAGAGAAAAAGAGAAAGTGGACCTAGAAAAAAGTGCGAAAACCAAGGAAAATAGGAAAAAATCAACAAATATAAAAGGTGTTTCTAGCAAAATGGCATCCAGAGACAGAGATGACAGAAA